GCCCAGGGAGGCTGTGGCTGCCCCAACCCTGGCAGTGTTCAAGGCCAGGCTGGATGAAGCCTTGAGCAACCTAATCTAGTGAGGTGTCCCTGCCTAGAGCAGGGGTTTGGGGCTGGATGATCTGTAAGGTCCATTCCAACCCCTAAATTCTATGATTCTGTGATTCTATGATTCTATATAGGATTGTTGGGAATGCTGTGTTCTGTGTAGGCAAAGATACCTCACCAAGGAGTGACATATGCTTTGATATGCTGCTTGGAAAACCCCTTGGAAACCCTCTCTAACCCATCCCATCCTGGTCTGGGCACCAAGGATTCCAATCAATAGGTAAAACTATCAATGACCGCCTTAAAATAGATAAGTAACAGGACAAATCACGGTCAAGGTTAAATTCAAGAATGGGCTTAAGTAACAAGAAAGTGTAGTAACTACATGAATTTCGTTGTTAGGGAACACATTTGGAGGAGAACAAAGAAGTATCTACTTATTCACATCCAACTGCTGCTGGATAAGTTCCTTTCATCTCTTTTGGTGACATTATTCCCCATTATAATTCAACTTCACCACTTTTTCCTCACAGCAAATTTATTGATTGAATCACAAGCAACACACACACAAAAAAAAGCCTCTGGGGGCTTGGGAGGAGTGAGGAGGAGGAGGAGGAGGAAGAGGTGAGGTCTGGCTATGGTGTGATGTGCCACCATTTGAAGGCGAAGGGTCTCCGCTGGACGTTGGTGCCGCAGTGAACCTCACCCAGGCTGCCGTGGTAGGATGACACGTCCTCCAGGAAGTGGCAGCACAGCCCCAGTGGCTCCAGGAGGCAGCGAATCTGTTGCTCCAGGCAGCACTCACCCCCCAACACGGGGCCAAAGGGTTTGGGGATGCCCAGGTCCTTGGCCAGCACAATCATGGTGACCTGTGGGGTGACACAAAGGGACATCAGCAGCGTTGGGTGTTGATGAAGCTGAAGGAAAGATGATGGTCATCCTCATCCATCAGCCTCAGCCCAACATGAGGCATCAACACCAAGTTTTGCAGCTGCACTTTCACAGAATTCTAAAACCAGCATAACTTTCCCCTTTCTAATCCCTAAAACACACCTCACACGTTGAAATCTCATCACTTTGAAAAGTTTTTGCCTCAAAACTCCACTGCAAGCAACACAAAGCCACAAATTTATGGTAGCCCTGTGCTTATCCATGCTTGGATGGAGATACTTTCTTTTCCAGGACAGCTGCTTTTTTGGGGACAACTTTGGGGACTCATTCTGACTGGCTAAAGTGGTTTTTGGAGAGGACCTGAGGAGCAGTGACCCCCTCACCGTGTTGGGGAAGTATGGCACAGCTTTGCCCTGCTTGTCAAGCTTGAAGAGGGTTGGCAGGTCGATGATGTCTTCCTCCATCAACCCCAACTCCTTCTTGAGGATGTCCCTGTTCCAGTCGATGCAGCGCTACAGGTGATGGAGAAGAGCAGGTTGAGAGGGAGGCACAGGTGGGGATGCTCCCCAAAACCATCTCACTCAGGAGAAGAGCCAAAATGTAACACCTCCCTTAAGGTTTGCAGCACCCTGGGGCATTTTTTTGCAGGAAACAGGATTTATTGCCAGAAATCTCAGTTCTTACCTGGACATGCTGGTTCTGCTGTGCCAGGATGTCATTGGAAAGGACCTTATTGATGGTGAGACGCTTTGTGTCTGTCCCTGAGTACCCTGAAAATGCAAATCCCATTCCAAATGAAGCAGCACTGGCAGGAGCCTGGCTTAGGATGGGGTACAGAGATGGAAAAAGTCACCAAAATCTCAATTTCCTGAGACTGGGGGTAAGGCTGATGGAGTCCCAATTCTTAGTTTATTGGGGAGCAGAGGGAAGAAAACCTCTGCCCATTGGAAACAGCATTGCAAATCTCTTATCATCCATCCTCCTGCCCACAGGAATCATCGTCTGCTGAATTTCTCCACCTGGTCACCCCTGATTTGAGGCCAGCTGGATCCCTTCAGTGATCCACGGAGAGCTGCTCCCAACACCATCATGAATCCAAACCCCAATTAAAGGATGCCCGAAGTGAGACAACAAGGTGCTCGTTTGAAGGGACACGAGAGCTGCAGTTGTCCCACTCCGCGCTGGAGCTCCATTGGCATTTAGAGACACTCCATCCCACCAAGCAAGCATCCCCTTCATGCAGAGGGCTTTATCCCTCCCATCCCACTCTCTTTCCTAAAATAGGGCTTGAGGAGGCTGGGTATGGTGGGCAGGCAGCCCATGTGCCAGCCGGGAAGGACAGCCGGGTGGGAAGGTGTCCCCACATGGCCCTGGTGGCCGCGCGTCCGTCAGGCGCTGCGGCCCGGCTGCCGTGTCTCAGCTGGCATCCAAACCTTGTCCACAGCCTCCCTCTGTCCCCCCTTGCCTTTGAACATGGTGGCTTCACCCTGGCCTTCCTTCTGCTTCTCCCGAAAGAGCTTGTAGCAGGCGGCAGGGCTGGCCATCAGCATCCGGAACCGCTGGGGAGAGACAGGTTGCAAAAATGGCTTAGCTGAAACCTTAGAGGACCTTTGCAAAGAGCCTGAGGTTAAACTCTCAAAAATCAGGTGGTTTTGCTGTTATTTAGTGCTTTTTTTAAATGTATGGAGGGTCTGTAAGGAGTATATGGGCATAAACATTCCTTTTCTGACCCATCCAGGAGAACATATGGTTTTCCTCAGTGAAAAATCTATATCAGAAGCAGGAAGAAACATAATAGAGGAAAGAGATGTCCTAAATCACAGAATCACAGTATACAGAGTTGGAAGGGATTTTTGAGGATCATCTAGTCCAGCTCCTGGCCCTGCACAGGACATTGCTGAGAATCACAGCATGTGCCTGAGAGCATTGTCCAAACACTCCTGGAGCTCTGTCAGCCTTGGGGCTGTGACCGCTCCGCTGGGGAGCTGTTCAATGCCCAAACACCTCTGGGGGAACAACCTTTGCCTGATATCCAACCTGAACTTCCCCTGATACTTTCTCCCCTCGGGTCCTGCCACTGTTTGCCAACATTCTGAACACATCTGAGAGATGCTGAGCTGCTGCAAGCCCTTGGGAATCTTGAGGTTTAAATTTCTGGGACTACCTTTGCAGGCACCTTTTTCCTTCTACCTGTGTTCATCATTACCTCAGCAAGTTCCTTTTTCTGCTCAGGTCCCTCATTTGGGGGAAAGGAACGAAACACAAACAAACACTTGTTGGGACTGTGAAAGAAATGAGCATTGGGGTTTTTTCTAGAGGTGTCCCAATGGGATTAGGACCCTGGAAGAGGAATCCTGGAGGTTTGGGGTACCTTTTTGTCGGAGGTGGGCACAAAAGTGATGAACTCATTGATGTAGCCCACAGCCAACCAGTCAGAGTAGAGCTCCACAGGAGCCTGGACTTGCTGGGCATAGAGGAAATCCCTCACCATCCTGGTCATCCTCCTTCCTGCAGATCTGGGGGGAAAATATCCCCAAGAGAAGGAATAAGAGCAATAAATATTGATACATCAACAAATAGATACACAGAAATTACAACTAAGGTGGAGTAAAAAAGGCAGAGAGTGAGCACCAGGAGTTGGATGTACCCACCCCATAGAGGACCACGTTTGCAGCCACTCATGCAATGACTAATTAACCCCTTTAACATGCTTTTGTTGATATTTTGGGGCACTTGTTGTTCCTTTGCTGCCAAATAAGTGTTTGGCCCAACTCTTACGTGGGGAAGCTGCTGCCAATGAGGATCCTTCCCAGGGGATACTCCTTCCCTGCCACGGTCACAGGTGGGCTGACCTCCAGGTTGCCAAAGGAGTCGAGGCTGGTGATGGCTTCAAAGAGAGGCTCCTTGTTCACATAGCCAAAATCAGGACCCTGGAGAAAGAGGAATCACTGTGGGCTTTGCCCTGAGTCCCTCCTGCCTCCATGTCTTTGCTTTTATCCCTCCTGCAGGGCTCAGACCAGCTCTGGTGGGTAAATAGATCAAAAGTGAGAGGCCTATCCATGGATGAGGAGAAGGGAAAGGAAAGGCAAGAGGATAAATGTCCCTGGGTCATGGAAGCTCAGTAATAAATGGCAGAAGCCAGGGGCAGAGCAGAGACATTGAGCCAGGGCCAGATCTCCTCTGCTATCCTGCAGCCAATGTTTAAGTGTCCACATTAAGCTAATTAGGTGCTGGGGCAGCCCTGAAGCTCAGTGTCTGGGCGGCTCGTGTCGTGCTAGATGAACTCCAGCCCCTCAGGGTGAGTCTACCCCGGGCTAAGAGCCACCTGAGGGGCTGTACTGCACTTAAATCCTATTTAAGCCCTGATTTTCAGGACTTAGTATATCTGAGATTGAAAGTGGTGTGCGTGCAGAGGTAATTAGCTCTTGGCTGTGATGTGCCAGGGTCGAAGCCCAAGGGAGAGACTGAGGTGTTTAAAACAGGGCAAAACCAGCAATGATGGGACAAAAATGCTGCTGTGAACTTGTCCTTGCTCTTTGGTTCAAGTCAATATAAGGCTTGGAGCTCACAGCAGCCCCTGGAATGAGATCAGGTATCTGTGAGGTTTGAGTTAAATTCCAATCACTTATCAGGGTTGGGTTTCCATAGGGATAAACCAAATATACAGGTCAGGAAAAATAAGCACGGAGACCTGAGTGTGCATGACTTCCATCTAGCAATTCCTTTTTAAATGGAGGGTGTCTGGAGAAGCTGGGATGGAGAGAGTGCAGTGACACTGCCTTTTTCTGAGGCTCCCCATGCATTTTTGGGGTGCGTATCTGGGGGATGGCTGAGGGTCAGATCCTTTCTGTGGGTGCTGAGGGAGGGACTGAGCATGAAACACCTGCTCTCAACTCATTTCAGTTTAATAAACCATGGTTTCAACTGTCAAGGCACTGGTTCATCCCAGGTTTGCAGGTCACATCCAAGTCCTATCAGTTCCAGATTGATTTTGAGGGGCTAATTCCCTCCCGTCTCCTTTTTCCCTGGCATGGGGTCCCAGGGGCTTAGGGTTTGGCCCAGGGCGAGAGGAGGACCCATGTGTGCTGCTTTTGGCCAAGTATTCCTAGCTGGAAAATGAGATTGGAAAGATAGTGGTGGGGATTAGGGAAGGCTTCAAAGCAGAAATCGGAGAATAATGTGTGAGCAGCTCCCAAGGCTGAAATTGTTTCCCTAAATATGAAGCAAAGCAATTCCTAAAGAGGGCAGATCCAAGCAGTCACTCGTCTTATTTGCTATTCCCACCCTGCCTGATGCATCCAGGACTGCATGTACTCATGTCAGGCATGAGAAAAGATGGATTTCAATGCTTCAGAAAGCTCTTAACCTTCCACAAAGTGACAAAAAATGTGACCTGTCCTCTTCTCCCATTACTGCTGGAGAGAGGGCCCAGGCTGAGGCTGCTGCCAGTGCCAGGCTGAGGGTATGGGACAGTGATTCTGTGGCTGCTTGGGAGTGTCCTGCCCTTTCTGCATGGTGGTATCTCAGAGGGAATGTTCAATCCATCTTTTTTCCATGCTTGTCTTTGCTGGGCTCTCCCAAAATGCCTTGTATAAGGTCACTGCTTTCTTTCCCAGGCAGCTTTCCTTGCACGCCCTGCCTATGATTGGCCCTTTGCCTTGGCAAAGAAGGCCCACGGGGCTGGTTTTGGCAGCTGGTTGCATCTTGTTCTCTTCTGTGGAAGTAAATTGACCCCTCTCGTGCTTTCCTTTCCTCTCCTGCTCGGAAGCTGCTGGATATTCAGAGGCATGGAGGAGGAAAGGGAGAACCAGCCCACTGCTGGGATGGTCAGGGTGAAGAAATCCAGTCTGAGAGCTTGGCAGGAGTCTTTCATTCCCACAGACATGAGCTTCTCCTTTCCCCTCTCATCCAACACCTTCTGGATAAAAGGTTTTCCAGATAGTTGGGATATGGATGAGACTCTGATCCTTGCTTTGAGTGGGAGTGAGGCTGTTGGTGTCCTCCCAGCTGGAAGTGGATGGGATAGTATTCCATGCAGCATGCAGAGCTGTTAGACTCTCATTTGCCTGGCAATTCCTTGTAGGGCCTCCAAGGAGCCAAGAGTAAGGAGGATTTTAAGAATGGGGAAATAGACTAAGCATAAAACCTGCAAGCTGCTCCTCAGGCAATGCAAACAAATCCTTCTCTTACCAGCAGCTCCTTGACAGGGAGTTGCTCCAACCCTTTTTCCCGAGGGGAATCCAGCACCACTGGGAAGCTTTTGTTGGGAGCATGAGTGTAGCCAAACTCAATGTCATCCTAAAGAAGGAGGAAAACTCAGGTGGGGCACAGGCAGGAAAAGGTTTGCCCCTTCTCTGGTGCCCACCTACCTGCATCCAGCGGTCCCCACGGTTGATGTAGCCGAAGCAAACCTTCAGCTTGCAGCCAGCCTTGTTCACCAGGTTCTGGATCTCCTTGGTGAAGAGGTAGTTGTCCTTCATGCTGGGAAAGGTGATGGCAGGAGGGAAGAGGAGGATGGACATTCTCTGCAGGCAGCTGCCTTTCCCTCTGCCCATCACCTCCCCAGCCTGTCTCTGGGACCTGTGGGACTGATGCTGGTTTGGCTGGGAGAGCCTCATCCCTCAGCCTTTACCTGCAGACGAAGACGCTGATCGGTGCCAAAGTGTTGGGAGTCATGATCCATGGTGCTACCCTGAACACGACGGTGTCAGTGAACACTGGAGTGTGTGGGATACCCTGGGAGAGGAAAGCAGAACTCAGGGACTTTACATACACTATTCCCTCCAAATGCCCTATCCTGAGTTCATTTTTGAGGTGAGTCATGGGGATCACTCTCCATTCAATCACCATCCCCTTCTCAGGAGATGCCTTGTTCCAGCCTCCCATCTGCACCCCTTCCCTGGAGCTCCCAGACCTCAGACAGTGTCTCCAGGAGGCTGAGGTGGATGGAGACCAGCCCAGAGAAGGTGTCATCAGGGAAGCAGAGCCCCTCGACGAAGAAGTCAAGCTCAGCAGTTCCTCCAGTGTAGTGCACGGTGTAGTACAGCTTCCTCCGGCCCAGCACGTGGACATAACGCTGGCCAAAGAAGGGATCTGTGAGGAGGAAAGGGAAAACAGACAATTTTCAAGGTTTCAGTGGGGGTTTCAAGCCTATTTCCATTGTGCAAGGAGATCATAGAATCATAGAACCATAGAATCATCAAAGTTGGACGAGACCTCTAAGATCATCTAGTCCAACGATTAACCTGTCACTGCTGTAACCCTTAAAACCTAAACCAGATCCTCCAGTGCCTCATCCAGACACTTCTTAAACACCTCCAGGGATGGTGACTCCACCACCACCCTGGGCAAACCTATTCTAGTGTCTGTCAGTCCCTCTGTGCTGGAGCTTCTTCACCTCTGTGGCTGGATGCAACTTCATCTGGCAGAAGTACCTTAAAACAGGAGTTAAGGAGCTTCAGCTTTGCAGTAATAGACAAGAAGGGTGAGGAAAAATGTCTTAGCCTTTCCTTGGATGGAGCAGTCACTGGGAAGGTGTTTTCATGGAGTTTCTGCCCTGCCATGAGATGACAATGCCACCAACCCTCATGCTGACAGGATTCCTCTGCATGGGGAGGCAAGACCAAACTATTCAATGGCACATTTTTTGGCTGGATGAGGCCTTTTGGTCCTGGGAATAAACCTCTGTGCCCACAATGAGCAACAAGGAAGGGAAAATGTGTTGTGGAGAATGTTGCTATCATGCATAAAGCACGATGCAACATGTGTCCTGAATGTCAGGACACATGGCTTTTTGTTGCTTCCCCTTTTCTGGATGACCTTGGATAAATGGCTTTATGCCCTGTGCCTCTGCTTGACATTCTTCAAAGTTTTCCAGCTGATTGAGAAGAGAGAATATTCATGGGAAAAAAAGGGAGAAGGGATGCTGAGGGCATGATTTGCTTCAGAGATGCCATTTGGAGAGTTGTGGAGAGGACAAGGTCAGAGGTGGAAAGGAATGGGCTTGTAGGGATCTCAAAAGCACCACAAAGGAGAAGGAAGAGGCAAAGGATGAAGGGGCAAAGAAGGAAGGGGCAAAGAAGGAAGGGCAGAAGACAAAGGGCAGAGGAAAGGCAGAGGAGGAAGGGGCAGAGGAGGAAAGGGCAGTGGAGGAAAAAACAGAAGACCAAGGGGAAAAGGAGGAAGGGCAGAGGAGGAAGAGGCAGAGGAGGAATAGACAGAGGAGAAAGGGGCAGTGAAAGAAGGGGCAGTGGAGGAGGTGAAGAAGGACTTACTCTGCACATGAAAGACCCCAACTTTGTCAGCGTCGTGGACAGAAATGTAGAGAATGATTTCGTACCCCCGGGGCAGGCGCTGTGGCCCTTCGGTCCTCAAGACCATCGGAGACATGTCCAGCAGATCTGGGGAGCAAACAAAACAAACTGGGTGTTGGCTTGCCAGCTCCTGCTGCCAGAGCTTGTGGCTTGTGCTTTGAAACAAATGCCCTTTTTCTCTCTTATCTTCCCTCCCCATCCCTGGCATGGCTGTTCCCTGACCTCAAAAACCTGATGGGCACTGACTCCACATGGTTTAATTTTCCAGGAACGGGTGGGTGTATTCCTGGCTGCTGGCTGCATGCTTTACCCTGAGCTCCTTTCACCTGCATGAAGCAGCCCAGGCCCACGCTCTGCCATCAGTGGCACCTCTGCTATTTTTCTGGCCCTGCTTCATGCCCCTGCTTGGCCTCAATTAGCCTGCATGGCATTCAAACCCAACAAATTCCCATATGGGAAGCTGACTCAGCAGCTGGTGGAGAGCAGCTGGTTCCTGAGCAAAATTTCATCTTAAAAAAAGAGGAAAATGGGGAATAATGGAGCATTTCTTGCTTGATGTGATGTTTTTGAGGCTGTGTTACCTTCTTTGTTGAACACCCTTTCGTTGTCGCGGTCGGACGATGGAGTGAGGGAGCTCTCCTTGTCACAGCTGACGAGCAGGATGGCCCCATGTCCCTCAGGCCCCCAGGTCCAGCTTGCCTAAAACACCCCACTGAGGCTTAGCAACTCCAGGTTCATGCAACCCCATGGATTTCCCATGTGGTGGAAGAGGCTGTGTTACCTTGTTGGGACTGTTCTTTTCTACCACACCATCCTGATCTGCGTCGACGTCCAGAGAGATCCCTGGATGGACAGACACCACCTTCATGCCGGGGCATGGCAGGGTTTGGTGGATGAAAAAGCCCCACAGACCCAGCAAAATTTGGGCCATCTCTACCCCACTCTACTCTGAGGAACCAAGGGATGAAGACAGATTGCTGCATGCAGAAGCCTTCATACTCACCGATGCCGGTGAGGAAGACCCCGGCTTGGTCAATGGGCTTCCCTTCCTCTGCATAAAAGCTGACAGTTACCTGCAAACTCCATAGGTTGGGGAAGGCTGTTTTTCCTCCATGGAGGTCCCCAGCATTCCCTTCTTACCTTGTTATCATTGACCTCAGTGCTGGCTTGGCTCATGCTGAACCTCAGGACTGTCCCCTTGGCCAGTGGCCTCCGTGTCCCACTGCTGGGGAGGGACTCCACCTCGGCTTGGCCTCGGCACAACACCTCCACACTCACCCCCTCCGTGTGCTTCACACTGAAGGACACTGCCCCAACTGGGGCTGCCCTGCAAAAACACTCCAGATTTTGAGAGGTTTGCACTGAAAACAGTTCTCGCTGCAGTTAATTTCACTGCCCAGAACACAGCCAAGACTGGACACGTCTCCGCGTCTCCACGCTCACCACTGGCACCTTCCTGCCCTGTCCTCCCTGCCTGGGAACTAGAATTATCCCTTTCTTAGGGCAGAAGATGCTGTTTTAGCACAATGAATGTTTGTAGCCATCGGTGCAGATTATGATCTGCAACAATCCCACTTGGTGCTGCTGGAACTGAACTCAGGTTTGGACTTCAATGGAGAAATCCATGTTTATTTTCCAAACCTGGTGTTTAACAGCTCAACATCACACCATGACCACCCTGCTCAGAGACTTCACCATGGGGAACTCTAATTCTGGTGTGATTTTATCCAACTCTGAAGCTCTTCATGCTGTGCTGGTCCCAATCCAATGTGCCCTTGCTCTTCCCCAGCCACTCCATGCAACCCTTCCCCCTCTCCTGTCTCCTTTTCCTGCGTTTCCCTGTATTTCCAGGTTATTATTTCTGGGCTGTTTGCAGCTCCCTTGGAGCATGTGTGACCCTGACACCCGAGAGCTTGTGCTGTATCACTGTTACAGCATCATCGCTCAGGTTTCGGGATGTCAATGGTCCCATCAAACCTGCACTGTTGGGAATAGGGGGGAGGAAATCTGAGCACTCCTTTGCTCCTGCCTGGGTGTTTCTTAAATTGTTAAATTGCTTTTAATTATACATGGAAAAACTGGTTTGGTTTCCTCGTTTCTTGGATTTGGGAATCCCACCAGGAAAAGATTTGACCTGGAGAGATGCCAGGTGAGTTGTGACTGTGCTACTTGGATTGAACATCAAGGGTGAGATTTGCAAAAGCAGCAAAGACCAGAATTCACCATGAAACGAGCTGTTATTAATAATAATTATCCTGAAGTTCAAGGTTGAAGGTTTGTTTTAGGGAGGCAGAGTTGGAGTTGTGGGGATTTCCCACTTTCCCAAGATGTGATTTGGTCACTAGATCTTGTTTTCCTTCTCTCTAACAGCTGCATCCTTTTCTCTGCAGTGCAACCCCATGGCTACTGCTCATCCCTCTGCTCTTCAGCAGCTTTCCAAGATGACACTGGATCTGTTGACTACACTGGGTCTGTTGACTACTCTGGATCTGTTGACTACAAGGGATCAAACCCATTGTAGACCCAGAGTAAATACCACATCATGCAAACATGGATGCTCCAAGCTTTCCTGGGTTTTACCCAGATTCACAAAGCCCAGGGAGGACTTTGCCCACAAATTGCATTCAGTCAGTGTCAGGGCTGTGGCACTTGGGAAAGCAGAAGGAAAAACAAGGAGAAGGATGTACAGAAGGCTAAACAGGGGGTGAAGGTGAGGAGAAAGGCAAAGGTGCAGAGGTAGAGGAGGGAAGGGAGCAGTGGGGTGTCTCACTCACCCGTAGACATCGGCGTGGATGTGAGTGCCCAGCACACACAGGGCCTCGATGCGGTTCCCGTGCTGCAGCCGGAGCGTGCGGTCCCTGCCTGGCATCTCCCCGTGCCACAGCCTGGATGTCTCACTCATGGGCACTGGGTCCCCTCTCCACCCTCTCTGGGTGGCACTGAGCCCCCCAGCAGCACCCAACTGCTTCTCCTTCCCTCCCTGGCACGCCTCCCTCCTCCTCCTTCACTGCCCCCGGGAGCTAAGCAGCTTTTGGAGCTTGGAAGGGTTGGGATGACAATTTGCAGCCCCCAAGGGAGGAGGCGGTTGGGTTGGACCCTCTAAAGCCTGGTGAAAATGATCTCCGAGGGGAGGGAAGGGATGGAGAGGGAGGGAGCTGGCCCGAAGCCTGGCTGACTCCCAGCCCTATGCAAGGAGCTCCCCCAGCTGTCCCCAACTCCCTGTCCCTCCACCGACTCCCTGACCCCAAACAGGGATCAACAGCCCAACAGCGTTTTGCGTTTCAACTGGTGTTTGCATCCATGGGGGATCCACTCGTTTTTGCTCTCTAGGGAAAATCTCTGGCTGCTCTTGCAAGGCAGAAAGAGTTTCCCAGCCCTTAGGCTAGAGCAGACTCTCCTTTTTTTTTCTTTTATTTTTCTTCCCTACTTATTTTCAAAGGGAAACTGAGAACCAGTTGCTGCTGAAGGGAAATCAGAGGTGGTTTTGCCACCCCATTCCTCACTGGAGCACGTCAGGAGCAATTCCTGCCCACGCAGACCTTTGCATTCTTTATTAGCATCAAGCTAAATATTCATTTGAAAACCCAAACTTCTGCCCCAGATTTTGGAAGCCACAAGCAATTAGCGATGAGCAAGAGATGCTCACATTGATGTTCCCTATTTATATCCCTTTCGGGCTCTTCTTTTTTCAGTCCTCACTTCTGTCTGTGTCTGTGGTGCAGGAAAGAAGCTCAAATCCAGTTTTTCAGCTGGATTGAGTTTGGTGGTTTTTTTGCCATGACCTGAGCAATTCTGCCCCAGATTTTGGAAGCCACAAGCAATTAGCGATGAGCAAGAGATGCTCACATTGATGTTCCCTATTTATATCCCTTTCGGGCTCTTCTTTTTTCAGTCCTCACTTCTGTCTGTGTCTGTGGTGCAGGAAAGAAGCTCAAATCCAGTTTTTCAGCTGGATTGAGTTTGGTGGTTTTTTTGCCATGACCTGAGCAAAGCAAATGCTACTCTTCTGCATATGCAAAAAAGAGATTTGTGGCGACAAGGAGGTTTTCTTCGTGGTGATAAAAGTTCTCCCTGAGGAACAGAAGAAAATATAAACCACTTTGCACCCAGGAGGTGCAAAAATGTTAGAGGTTTGGGTTAAATGACCCCCAGTTTAGACACCCTGACGTAGGAGTTGACCTGCTGGCAGCTGGAAAATATTACTTCCTCTGAAATGCATCATGATTAACTACTTAACCTCTTTCTACGTAAACCACCAGAATAAGAGACACTGGTGAAAGAGGAACCAGAAAGCAAAATCATTTAGAAATGGAAAAAAAAAGAAAGAAACCAAACCCACATCATGTCTGCACCAGTGGGTTCTGTTCTCGAGCACTGTATGAGCCTCATTTTCTCTCTTTTTACCCCAAAACAGAGCCAGCATCTGTTGGGCAGGGATAGCCTCACCTCCCTACCCTCTCCTGGGACCTGTGGGCTGAGGAAATGGAGGTGTGAACTCATCCATTTGGGAGAAAATGAGAAAAAAAAATGCAGCTTCTCTTTTATCATTTTCACTTCTCAATTCCTGTTCCTGAGGATTTAGTATTTCAGTTGTTGGGGAGGAAAACAAATGCTATTTAAATCCTCCTTCGCTTAAAAAAGCCCAACCAAACCCAATCCCAAATCCCTCCCACCTTGCACAAAGATCCAAAAGTCACTGCATCACTTGGGGTTTTTAAAATCAGGAGGATTTTGAGCTGGTTACAGAGTTTGGTTTATAAATGTATATATATAAATGTATTTATATCTCCCATGGTGATGATGATGGAATGGGCAAAACCCCTTGGAATTTGCCAGGCAGAAGGAAAGCTGTTATCCCACAGGAGCAAGTGTTACCTGCTAGCAAAGATGGGATTTGGAACCCTGGTGGCTCTGGAGATTTTTGGGTCATCCTGAGGGGTTTTGGGTGGCCTTGGCTGCCTAAGGGGAGCAGCTGGGTTTGGGCTCACTTGTGCTTCCCTGGGAGCATGGAACCAAACAAAAAAAAGGGAAATATCCTATTTTGGGATGAAACTGAAGGAGACCTGCTGGATTGAGTGGGGAAGGGGTTGGAAGAGCCCATTTCCCCTCCGCTGTGCTGGTCCCTGTCTTTAAGGCAACAATATGGGCAGAGAATGAGATCTTTAAAAGCTTCTGAGGACTTTTGGCAACCAGATTTGATCTTTGAATTTGTGGGGGTCTTTGAATGCTTACTGGGGCCTTGGAAAACCTTTGGGGGTGTCTTTCAAAGCTTCTCAGAGTCTTTTCAAGCCTTCTAGGGTCTTCTCAAACTTCCCAGAGACTTTGGTAACCCTTTGGGATTCTTTGCCAGCCATACAGGGTCTTTGTAGGCTTTCTGAGGTCTTTGTAAGCCTTTGAGGGCCTTTGAAAGCTTCTTGGGGTCTTTGCAAGCCTCTGGAGCTTTTTGTGGAGCCTCTGAAGGTCTTTGTGGAGCTGCTGTAGCTTCATACCTACAACTGGTGTGGGGGACAAGCATGAGGACCTTCCTGTCTCCATTGCAGTGAAAATCTGGCTGACTCTGTCCATGAATTACTAAATGAATCTCCATTTACGCTGCCAGAATGTGTTTTTTTTCAAGAGGCAAAGGTGCTTTGTGTGCTGCAGCTCTGCTCTGGGCTATCAGGTGGGAGATCAGCCCCATTAACCCACCCCAGGACGTACAGAGGTGTATGTATGTGCACATGTAGGTGTCTGGAGGCTCGTGGTTCCTCAGCTAGAGTCAGTCTGGTCAGAGGAGTTCTCTGTTTTCTTTCAAAATCAGATCAAGCAGATTAGGAGCTGCTCTGCATAAACTTCCCTGCTGCCAGTGGATCTCTGCCTGCCCTAATTTCGAGGAGCTGGGAACAGATCCCAGTGCTGGAGTTTGCAAACAACCCCAGTGAGCTGATTCCTGAGGGGATTCACGTGCACATCTCCTCCCTGAGCCTCACCCAGCGGAGGGTGCAAGGGGGTTTTACTCTCTGTGGGTGCTGGGTGAGGGGTTTTGGGGTGGTTTTGTGACTCCCTTCTGGAGGCACATGACTTCTTGCAAAGAGTAGGAGGGAAATGTTCCCTCCCAGAGTCCTTTCAAGCTGACCTTTCACGTTTAGGAGGTGCAAACAGGTGCCCATCCCGAGCAAGCCATGAGGCACTGCCTGTTCCTGCCTGTTCCTGCCCGTGTTGGCTTTATTTTGGAAGGGGCAGGCAGCTTCGAGGAGGCAAAACCAACGCACTGCAGAGGATGAAGGAGCTTGGGCAAAGCTGAGCCCACCCCTGGCTTTATTGCTGCCTGTGGAGGAGGCATCCAGCACAGCCCAGCGAGGGAGATATTTATAGGGCAGCAAATGGAACGCAAGGCTGGGGGAGAGCGTGGGCAGGGTGAGCACAGGGGGACGTGCACAGCTCCAGCCCTGGGCAAAAAGCAGTTTTATGGGCTGCCTTGCTCTTGGATAATGAGGTCTGAAGTCTCCCAGCAGGCAGACGCCTTTATTTTGGGGAGAAGAAAGGTTGGAAAGGGATTTTTGGTGCTTTCTCCCCCTGGGTGAAAGTGGTTGCAAAGCCAGGGTGTTTTCCAGGATTGACACCAACCTCAGTTGGGTTTTGCCAGCTTTGAAAGCATTTTTCACTGGTCCAAACCAGCCTTCTACCATTCTTCCCTGGCTTCCAGCTGGGATGGGGAGTGCAACTCCTTGAGAAGGGTCTGTCTGGGATGCTCCTGCCCTGCTGTTACAGCTATGTGCCTAAAGAAAATAAACCCTCCTGCAAACCCAAGTGGGACTTGATAACTGGTTTGATGTCTTGCCCTATTGCAGGTAATTAGGCTGACACGGCTCTTAAAAGTTTCTGCCTGCAATTATGCATGCAGAGTAATAAATAAGGTGTAATTATCAGCTTAGGGAGATTATCAAACTTTCCTTGACAGAGTGGTGGTGCAGGATGGGTGAGAAGAAACGCCCCAGAGGGATCTGAGCTATTAGTGGAGTTCCTGGAGAAACACTGGGGGGTTATGTCTTGCTTAATAATGTCTAGAAACAAGCTGAAATTGGGAAAAAGCCAAAGTCAATCCCCCCCCCAAAAAAAAAGGCTGACCAGGGTCACTCGATGTGATGGACAGGCTGAATCTCATCCGTCATGTTCCAGGGATCTTAATAGCAACTTTCTCAGGACAAGGTGTTATTAGGAAGAAACACTCAGCTTTGAATGGGTAGGATGACTTAAAATCCTCATTCTCCCTGTGCACAGGCATGTCGGTGCTAATAGCAGGTGGAGGAGGAAGAAGAGGTGAGTGTAGGTACCACCCAACAAAGACAAGGTGTTTTGGGCTTGAGTGAGCATCCGCAGTGACCGTGGCAGCTCGAAATGTGCCGTGACTAAACTCACCCAACAAAAACCACCCAGACCCAAAAGGGAGGTGAGACTTCAGCTCTGTGCCTCCATCCTTTCTGGATGGATGTGATCCTGGGTGGATTTGGAGAAATATATGTTTCCAACGTGTCTGCTGAAGTCCTCGTGCTCACTGGGAGCTCGAAACCACTGTCCTCCACCTCCCTCCAGATTACAGACCATACCAGCCTGACCCTGTGGGGATTAAGGTGTGTTCCCTGTCCAGCACAGGGCTCAAACCAGCTGAGCAGGATACGATGCTAAAATCACAGCAGGCAGCAAGCTCAGCACTGTGCCCAGTCCAAACCAGTGCAACCAGCAGCCACGAGTGCAGTATCCACCTTGCACCTCTCTTTGGGAGTGATGCTGCCATGGCCACACTCTTCCTCAGAGGATGCAGAGAGCTCCTCACCCACTGTGCCATCTCTGCTTCCCCCCAGCTTGAAGTTTGAAGTCTTGTGCTCCACA